TTTTGGATTTGACTGACTCCATCCTTGTGATTTTTTTTTTTAAAAACATGTTCTTCTAGAATAAACATTATTAAAATGGCCATCCTACCAAAAGCAATATACAGATTCAATGCTATTCCATAATCAAAATTTCAATGTCATTCTTCAAAGAAATAGAGTAATTATTGATGGAATTCATATGGAATCACAAAAACCCCGAATAGCCAAAGCTCTCCTGAAAAAAAAAGAAGGGAATGGAGGCATCACACTCCCAGACTTCAAACTATACTACAAAGCCATAATCATCAAAACTGCATGGTATTGGAACAAGAACAGACATACAGACCAATGGAATCGAATAGAAAATCCAGAAATAAACCCACAGATTTATGGTCAACTAATCTTTGACAAAGGAGCAAAGACTATGCATTGGAGCAAAGAAAGTTTGTTCAATAAATGGTGCTGGGAAAACTGGTCGCTACATGCAAAGAATGAAGCTTGACCACTACCGCACCCCATACACAAAAATCAACTCAAAATGGATTAAAGAACTAGACATAAGACCTGAAACCATAAAATACATAGAAGGAAAGATAGGCGAAACACTACGTGATATTCACATCAAAGACATCTTTACAGACACATCACCCAAAGCAATGATAGTGAAGGCAAAGATAAACAGCTGGGACTACATCAAATTAAAGAGCTTCTGCACAGCAAAATAGACAATAACAAAAACAAAGAGAAACCCCACCAACTGGGAGAACATTTTTGCACACAACACTAATGATAAAGGACTGATCACAAAAATCTGCAAAGAGCTGATGAGACTCAACAACAACAAAGAAAATAATCCAGTCAAAAAATGGGCAGAAGAGCTAAAAAGAAACTTCTCTGAAGAGGAAATGCAAATGGCCAACAGGCATATGAAAAAATGTTCAACATCACTTGTAATCAGGGAAATGCAAATCAAAAACTACCATGAGATACCATCTTACACCAGTGAGAATGGCACATATTAAAAAAACTAGCAACAACAAATGTTGGCGAGGTTGTGGAGAAAAGGAACTCTCCTGCACTGTTGGTGGGAGTGCAAACTGGTCCAACCACTATGGAGAGCTGTGTGGAGATTTCTGGACCTATTAAACATAGAACTTCCATATGATCCAGCAATTCCACTCCTAGGTATTTACCCAAAGGACACAGAAAATCAATTCCAAAGAGCACCTGCACCCCTATGTTTATAGCAGCACTGTTTACAATAGCTAAGCTTTGGAAACAACCCAAATGCCCAAAAATAGATGACTGGATCAAGAAGATGTGGTCCATATATACCACGGAATATTACTCAGCATTCAAAAAAGATAAACACATGCAATTTGCAGCAACATGGATGGCGCTGGAAGGGATCATGCTCAGCGAAATAAGCCAGAAAGAAAAAGAAAAAGACCGGATGGTCTCACTCATAGCAGGACTCTAGAAAACTTAAATAAGGGACCAGGAAAATGAATAACTATAAGAAAGTGAAAATCAAAATCAACAAAAAACTATGAACCATAGACACTCTGTGGGGCTTAGGGGGTGGGGGGAGGGATGGGGTCAAAATAAGGGGGTTGCAATTATATGGGGAATATAAAATAAAATTTATTATAAAAAAATAAATAAATAAATCTTTTTTTTTTTAAAAAACATGTTCTATTTCCTATGAATTGGTAGTTTGCATCTAGAGGCTTTTGATGAAATTCATTTTGTTACTGTTTTTGGCTAGGATACATTGTCTAGATCCTCTGTTCCCCTTAGGGATTGCAATGATAATTTTTCTAATTCTTTTATTCCTTTGAAGTTTCTTAACTGGATTTTTCCTGCAAAATAGATTGTTTGTGCCCTTGAAATATAGTGATTGTAAAAAGGATAGGGTAAAGGCTTCATTTTTTCTTCCCAGTTTTCATAATAATATGTGCCCTTGTGGGACTAGTAAGTTGTTTGCATTTGTTTGCTTTAAGTAACACATGAACTCATGGATTTTTATATTTTATTTTAGGAGTCATTCTTTCAATGCTCACGTTTTTACAACTTTGACTAGTATAAACCCTTTCAAGTTAGTTCTGTCTTTCGACCTATCTCCTTGCTTTTTCACACAGCAATATATTTTAAACTTACCTTGAACTTTCCCTGAGCCATAACTAGAATCAGTCACCCTATTTCTCCAAGGACTCCTGTTTTGAGAAACAATCAAAACTGCAATGTGAGCACTAGGGCACTAATTACTGTTGACCCAACAAATTTGTCTCAATAGGTTTTAATAAGTACTCGATTTTGCCTGCTTTATTCTCATACACATTTTTCAAATTATTTGCATTGTTTCATTTTTTAAAATACATCTGTGCTCTCTTTTAATTGAAAGCATCTTAACAGACAGGAATTATGTGCAGATCTTCCTTAACCTCTAATGAGGTTACATCCCAATAAACCCATGGTAAATTAAAAATTTCTAAGTTGAGGGGCCTCCCTGGTGGTGCAAGGGTTAAGACACAACCTATGAAGCTATCCGCAGTTGCTGCACAAGTTTGAGCACCGGCCAGGTGGCTACCAACATGGCACAGCAGACCTCTCCTGATTGCCCGCTGCT